TTGCGTTACAGATGCAGGTGATCACGTAAAACTGAGGGCGATCGTTAACTTTGCGGAAAGGGCCGACTATATCGAGGTGTAGCTTATTGAAGGGCACGGCAGACCTTCGCGTGTCAGCAATCTCTGCTGGGGTATAAAGTCTCAACTTGAGACTCAAGTAGCTCGGTCAGCCGATGTGGATGCTGTCGCTGTCGATAGCATTCCCATTCGAACTATTGATTGGTTACGGTTTTTTCGACAGATTCTGTCTTGCTTGACGCTCAATTTCGACGGTGATGGTAGGCCTCAAACTCTACTCTCTGGGATCGTCCGCTGCGTCGTGCGAGTCGGGACAAGGATAGCATCCGTTGCCCTAGATGCTCCAGATTGTCGGGCATGCAGCGTGCCCGACGAGGAGGCTGCAGTTGCCGCTACGACTGAGCAGGCCATTGTCGCCGCTATGAAACGTTGCCTACGACTGAGCAGGCCATTGTCACCACTACAACTGAGGAGGTAGTTGCCGCTACTACTACTGAGGAGGTGGTTGCGGCCACCAGATTGCAGTCTCTACGACTGGGGAGGCCTTCGACAAGGCCAATACTACCGAGTCAGTCGACGTTACAACTGATGTAATCAACCCAGCGGCAACCAATCACTATCTGCTGGTGCCAACGGTGTAAACGGCGAGGACGAGAAAGGCATGCCTTATTGTGATAACGCTTACACCGGCTTGAACATGGGAAATTCATACTGCAAGTCGTGGTTGTTTGTGCTAGTTTGTCATGGCGATGATCAGTCGTGTGACACTTCTGTATGTATTCCAGACGATACTCACTCCGTTGAAAGTGCTACTTGTGATACCTAGTAGGTATTTTCTACTGTGTAAAGCAAAACCCCGGAGTGGTTTCTGTGTACGAGGTGTCCTATTGTAAGTGGTGACTTGGTCCTCCCACTTGCTTTAGTGGAGACCAGCCTTGCCCTCGGAGTGTGTTTGGTGCTGGCACTCACGATTATTAACATAATATTCACAACGTCTAGCATCCTTACCGCTGATGAGTCATCAGTATCACTGATGACTAGGTCACCACATACTGAACATCGGAACGGTCATCGACGATGACCGTTCCGAGCGGCCCGATGACTCATCGTGTCGAATGTACCTCGTACATAGTACGGACTATGTACTATGGACGTTACGTAGTAGGTACGAATTCATGAGTCTCTGCAGTTACTGAGGCGCAGTATACACTTAGTAAGTGTCACTTACACATAAGGATCTGTACCACAAAGTATGTACGTAGCATTTTCGGGTATCGGGATCACGGATCACGGGTAGTGTAACGTAGCAAAAGAGACCCGTTACAGGATCACCGGATCTTAACACGTAAAGTACCGCTGATCCATGAGCCGATCCTTCTGATGGATCAGAAGCTTGATCCAATACTTGATCCGGATCAGAGAGTGATCCCTCGGAAGCGAATGGATCAAGGATCAACATAATTATTCAAGACATCTGAGATCGCTAGATCACGGATCAACTTTTTCTCGTTTATGATTCCCGAGAATTACGATCACACGGAAATGGGCCCAGGGCGATGTAACCAATTCCAGAGTCAGACGCATTGTAGTGGCTATCACTTGCGATATGGAGTAACATATCAGAGTTAGATCCTTGATCCTCGACCTCAGCGTAGTGCGGCTACTAGTATTTCTGGAAGTGTGGAGTATCCTCTTGCGGGGTCCAGGACAACGTCAATTCGCAAGCTGTGAACAGGCGATTACCCAGCGTTAACGCGGATGCATGGCCGAGACTCCTGGGAGCCATTACGGGATCTACTGCGTTCATGTTCCAAGCCTTCGTTCATAAAGAGCAAGAGAGTTTTTCGAGAACTTCGAAGCTCGCTTCGAAAAGTTCTCAAGTGAAGCTCAGCTTCACTCGGGGCATCAGACAGTAATTTGCAATCGTCCGATATGTTTAAAAAATCATCACGAAGTTGAGGTTCCCAGAGAGATTAGCCCGAGTTCCATTCCGTGCATTGAGTGAATATTACATTTCTCAATATCACAAAACTCAGAACAAAATCCGCTTGTGAAATTATTCAAATTTATAGGAGAAAACGACGGCCTCGAAAAGTGTGAGCATTCTCATCAAAATTCCCGGCAGAGTTATGACTGCCGCTATCACTCCGCAGACCGCTAGAGACACAGACACTGTGCGCCGGTGGCGGGAACTCCAGTACGCTGACGTGATTGATTCACCGCGAGGGAGAAGTGGCTCGGAATTAGGACTCATGCTGTGACCTTTGTTTGAATGATGCAGTAGTATCGCAGGAAAGAACATCATTGATCCCAAAACACCGACAGCTCCCACGATGGAAGTTATATCCGAGAGAATAGTGAACATAACGAAAAAGATGTAGGCCACTGCGATGATTGCGACAGTGAAGAAACCGTGTGCAGGACTCACGGGGCTCCGCCGAGTACTTTCCAATAGAATGTGACGGATGGGGTGAACAGCTAGAGGAATCTTAGTGAGAGAAATAACTCCGAATCCAATACGTAGGGCAGTGAAAGCAACCGTATGCGGTAGTGCGAGCAGAATGTTGCTACTCCGACCAAATCCGAAGCAAGGACTTGAGACAGCAGCATAGGCGAGCACTAGGTAGATGATAAGTGCAAAGAGGATCGAAGCCGCCATAATGAACGGCATGCGTGGACGCATCTCGGGTGGTAACTCTGAGTAGAGTCGAGGAAGGTTAACTTGGCAACCGAATACAAGCATCGCAGTTCCGAGCACCTGAGTACGAAAGATTAAATTGAGCTGGTTCAACTTGAACCCACCGTAGACGCGTCACTAAATACACTTCCCTTGTGTTGATTCTGTGGTATTTCTGGGTGTATGGGACAACCAAGTGTTGCTGTTGCAAGGATGAGTATCCAAGCTGATATCAACAGCATCACTCCGATTCCCGAGATGAACCTCATGCCGTGCAGGGCTCTTGGCCACGACAGACCGCAGCTTAATGCAGCGAGTACGAGCCCGCTGATAGGCCTCGAAGAGGTTGAGCTCAACTCGATGGAGAAACAATCGTATGATACAACTAGCAACATCGTTACCACCTAAATTGAGTTACGTCACAAAGAAGCGAGGGGAGGTATCACCCCGATTAAACTAAAGCAAATAGTGTAAGAGATGATCCTCACAACGACAGTGCCGCTGCAGAGCTTGCTAGCTATTGAGTGGTAGCTGTCTCCAGGCACAAAACCAGGGAGAACCACTCCAACTGTCAACCTGATCAGAAACCAATGACATCGAGAAAGCCGATACGAGCTCACATAGAAGTATAGGAAATGATAGCAACAATCACCAGCGTGATTGTTGTCACTGTTGGGCTCGTCAAATACATACAGAATGGCAGTGCGAAGATACCTGACCTCGCCGTAGACGATGCGGGAGACATGCACATAGTCGAATATATGTCTTAGTAATTTTGAGGAAATTTGAGAATTTCTTGTTAATTTTCGT